TAAGCCTGCCCTCAGGCTCCACAGCTGCTGTTAGAAGGGGTCAAAGTTCTGCTCTTTGTTTCTGTGCAGAGCTGCCAGGAGGGGCTGAAATGGCTCCACTTAGCTGAAAGTCTGGGCTTGGGGGGTGGGGCTGTCCAAGACCCGCACTCTGGAGGAGGTCTCGCTCCCTTCCGATCTCCCCATCTCCGTGTCCTCCCCTAGGCCTCCGCCAGCAAGCGGGGCCTCAGGCCGATGGATCCCCCTGGCTGTGACGCGGGTTGGGAGGTTCCGCACCCAGGATCGTAGCCTGAGCTGGGTGCACAGCCCTCCTCTAGGAGGAGGGCCGCCGGTCAGGCACGCTGATCTGCCCCTGAAGGCGCACACTCCTCAGTAGGCTCCTTCACAGATCTCTCCTCCGTGCCCCAGGGCAGCGCGATCGTGACCCGGGGTGCACGGGGTCTGGTCTGCAGGCCTGACCCCTGTACCCTGGAGATCAACCCCTGACCCTGCCAGGGGGAGGGGTGCTGGTCTTGAGTTCCCTACAGGGTGCCCAAGCTGGATCGATTTCACTCCACCTCGGGATTTGCCCCACTCTCCTGGAGTCCCCAGGCAAGTAGCACCTGGGAGGGCTGGCGGGTAGGGAACTCGCAGTCTGAGTGCCCCTCAGTCTGCTGTAGGACCCCAAAAGGAAAGGTCCCGTTCCTTGGAGATGCCTCCGTGTGATGGCTAAATTGTCTTTCTGGGCACCCACGGGTAGGGAGGGGGAAGGAGAGAATGGAGCACTATGGTGTCTGCCGCTGGGCTCGGGTCTGCACCCGGGGAGGTGCCCCAAGGGGCTGGGAGCCTGGCGCTGAGTCCGCAAGAGGCCACTGCTCGCTGGCGGCAGCCGTCTCTGGGCTGGTGTCGGCAGGTCTCTCCAGCCGCTCAGGAGCCACCAGCAGTCCGAGATGCAAGAGAGGGGGAAGTTAACCGCTCCACCTACCCTTGTCACTGGTCTCCAGGCCTCTCGGGACCTCTCTCCTTCCAGTTCTCCTCTGCAACGTCTTCTCGTGGAGTCTCCTGTAGTTTCAGGCACCCTTCCTTCCGACCCTCACACGATCTATGTTTCTCTACTCGCTTATTTTTTTTCCTCTTTCTTCTAAAATTCGTCTTTTTTGCGGAGACCTTCTGACTGGCGGCTAGTCTCATCCGCCATCTTGGCTCCTCCCCCCCAGCCTATATCTCTTGAATGGGGATTTCAAGCCATTCACACTTATTGAAAGAATTGATAAGTGGGGTGGATTTCTGTTCATCCTGTCGAGTAGATCTTTATTGCTTTGTTTTACCTCTTGAGCCATTGTAGTATCTGGGCTCTGAACTTAAGCTTTTGGGTGATTTTACACTGGTGGGTGTCTATTGTGCTAATCTGTATATAATGCAGTTCTGAGTACTTCCTGCAGGACAGATCTGGCCTTGACAAATTCCCTCAGTGTTTATTTGTCTGAGAAAGTCTTTATTTCTCCCTCAGATCAGAAATTTAGTTTTTCAGGATATAAAATTCTAGGCTGGCCATTATTCTATTTGAGAAGACTGAGAATGGGGCCCCAATCCCTTCTGGCTTGTGAGGTCTCAGTTGAAAAGTCTGCAAGGTTTTCCAACCCTTGTGCATTTTCAAGGGAAGAAAGTGTCTATCATTCATCATCACATTCTTGAGAATGTTTTTTCTGAGCTATAGACACAGGCTTCTGCACACCACTAGAGTACTTTCAAGCGTGCTGGTTGTTGCTGTTCAAGGCTGACACTAATCCTGAGCCCATTCCTTTGAGGCCTCTCTCAGTGTATGGTCCACTTTCCAGAAGCCAGTGGTTTTATTTGGGCTCTTTTAAGTCAAGGTTCTTACTCAAGAACTGGCCAAGAAGCCATGAGGAGCTGAAAGATGTGGGAACTGATCTTTCACTCTCCCTGTCTCTCTCTCAGGGCCTTCCTCCTTTTTGGGAGCGCTCATTGCTCCTAAGCTTTATGGCTTTTCTTTCTGTACATCTTTGCAGCCTCACCTTTTAGTACTAATCAGCTTATTCTCTGATGGTTCACAGTTCAAGTTCCTGTGGAAGAAATCTGGTTAACTCAGCTCATCTTTCCATGGACAAGTTGTGTTGCAGGTCCTTGGTCAGTGGATGCTAAAACTGGTGCTGAGGCCAAGACAACAGCCGGATGGGCCTGGGGGTGGTGGTGTGACCTCCAAAACCTAATAGCACCTAACATACAACAAAAGAGGGAACAATTTTAAGGCAATTAGGAACTAGGCTTCTTTTATTCTGTGGGTAGAATTTCCTTAAAAGTTTAATATTTGTCTAAATGTTCTATTATTATTTATTGGTTTTACTGCTGTATTAACTTTATGACATGAATTCAATGCTGAACTCTCATTATTTCTTTTTACCATTATAGCATGCAAAAGACTGGGAGAGTCTAAACCTATTACTATTTCACAGAGGAAGAACCCAGAGATCTAAGTAACCATCCTAAAGTCACAGGACTACAGAAAGACAGAGAATGAGAAGCAGATCTCCCAATTCCCAAAGGCTTTAACCAGCACCCAACATGGGAACTGGGATAGAGAGCCTACATAATATTCCAGATAGTTAGGAAATGTTTGTTACCCATGGGATTTTCCTCTTTTCTTTTGTAAGAGGGTATACAAAACAGAAATAAACGGCATCTCAAAGAGTTCTAATACATGATTACTGTTACAAAACATTTACAATGTAAACTTGGCACCATTTCAAAACTTACAAGTTAACAAACCATTTTGAAGTTTACTCTAATTGCAGACTCTCATCATGCTTCACATTCAGGTTTTTTTAATACTTAGGAAAAGTTCAATAAATGTGTAACAAATGTGTGTGTATAAAATAATTATAAATGAAAAACCACCTTTTACAAAAAAATGTTTATTTATTCAGTCAACTAAACTCAAATAATTTCAAGAAGCATATCAAAGAATTATTTCTAAGTGGATTTTTTTTCTTACAGTACATAGAGCTAAGGACAAAACTGTCAGCTCTTAAGTTTTTGTTTGACCTGCTTTGTCAAATGCTTTGCGAAGTGATGTTCACAACAGCACCATGTGATGTCAACTTGCATTAATTCTGTCCCAAAGACAGGTGCTCAGTATTCAAACTGTGTTTGTTCTGGCACAATCTATTTATGTTTCAGCTTCATTTCTGAAGGTTTACAGGTACCACTTTTGTTAGAAGACTCTGTTCCTTTTTGTAATTTCTCTTCTAAAACAACCTTTGAAAGGGCAACACTAATGTCTTATAAAGGTGCTTTCAGGGAAGTCATTAAGAAAATAATATTCTCTGAACATATTTCAGAGAATTGAAGAGAAATGTTAGGTATATACTGATGTTAAAATTTACTGTCTTATCATAGATATATTATGAAAAATTAAAACTAACACCACCTAAGGAAAGATTTCTCAATGAATTAAATCCATCAACAGTATTGTATTTGTTTTATGTAAAAGATAATTTATTAATTTGTTTTCAGCTATTGAGAATCATATGCATATATTACTAAAATTAGATAATATTCTTTAAATTCAGTTTTAATAATGATTATATATTAGCAAACACCTAAATGTTTTGCTGATTAAGTAATATGGGGTAATAAAAAACATTCATTTCAAATTTCTTCATTTGAAAGAACAATGTAAGTCACTGATCCATTATTTTATCTTGCTTAGAAAACAATTAAGAGAAAGGCTCTGTTAAGATTCTAAATCTAGATTTTGATGGTTTTGACATGAATTCTTGGTTTCCTCTATTCCCCTGAAAACCAATTATAATAATTTCAAATATAGTCATATAGCAACTATAATTCAGTTGATTGCTAAGGGTCTTTTTCAAATTTTGTCCTTTCCACCTTTTTTCTGAAGCCGGTTTCTGGTTGGTTCTGTCAACACCAAGGGTTCTTGTATGATGACTGCCGGGTAATTTTTGCCCAATAGTTCCACTTCCACTTGCTGTCCCACGTTACTTAGTTCCACAGGGACATACGCGAAAGCCAGACTTTTTTGGATGCTGTAACTGTAGCTTCCAGACGTTGTGTTGCCGACCACCTGGAAAACAAGACCTGACAATCTCCAGTATCTCGGTCACAGCTCTGTGCTTCACATCCCCAGGTGAAAAAAACTATAGAGTCAATGTACAATATGGAATTTTTATGAAATGCTGTCTGTGGGGATAACACCAGAGACGCAGGAGGAAAATTTCACATTTTGAGAAGATTAATGAAAATTTACAAATTATGAAAAATAATTCTCAAGGTACGCATCTGTATTACTCTGAAACTTCTCATTTTTAAGTAATAACACTTAGTTTCTTAATACCTACCACTATTTTGCTCAGTTTCAGACCAAGAGATCTGATAGGAGCAAGACTGGGGTATCTTCATTTTAAACTTAAAAACCCCTCTCCTCTATCATTGAACTAGCATGGCAATAGTAGATAAGAGGAGGGAAAATCTAAAAACCCAAATGCAAACTTAGTCAATTGTCCCTGTTGGGGTTTAGAAAATGGCCTGCCAAAATAGTGCGGAATTAAGCTATTTATTAATATATCAGTAGTCAGTGTGAAGTAAACATTCTATGTGAAAGACTATATGTAGTATATCTAATATTTAACAGTTATTCCTGGCAATTGTAAGGTACTTAAATAAATGGTAACTTTAACACTTTTAGTTATATCATGTACAAAACATTTTGCTAGACACTCTAGAGAAATGAGAGGAGTCCTGGTACCTGCCCTTACAGCTTAATTGGGGAATTACAAAGAGATACTAGAAAATGTAATCAGGAAGCCACAGCATGACACACGAAGATTAATAAGTGAGCCAAGGGCCGGGTGTGGTGGGACACACCTGTAATCCCAGTTACTCAGGAGGCTGAGGTGGGAGGATTGCTTGAGCCCAGGAGTTCAAGTCCAGCCTGGGAAATGTAGTGACATCCCATTGCAAAACAAAAACAAAAACAAAACAAAATATAATTCTTCTATACTTTGAAGGTGGGTAGAATTAGGTTGGCAGAGATGTGGGATGAAATCTTCCGGGATGAGGGAAGACATGGCATTAGGAATGAACAAAGAAGCAAACAATGAAAACTGAAGAGGATGAAATAAGGTAACTTGGGATGGCAAAACAGAGAACAATATTAAATAAGGAATCAAAACTCAGGAGATGAAAACAAAGCCTTTATGCCATCAAAAAAGTCTACATAACAAGCCTGATTAGAAGATAAGACGGTTAATGGAAACCATATTTAAAGGAAAAGATGAAAGAGAAGGAAAAGCAGAAAATTTGAAAAATTGTCAAGTCAAAATACTGCATAGAAAAAAAATAAAAGGAAGACAACAAAACAGAAAATGATATAGACCCCTGCTTAAAATGGCTTCTCCTGGCCACACAATGTTGCGCTACTCCTTCCAGCCCCACTGTCTAGTGACTGCTCAGAGCTGGTGTTCAAAACGTTCATGGACATGAATCAGCCTGGTGATTATTCGGCTGCCTCAGCAAACAGTTCACTACAGTCAACAGTCCCACTATAAACACTTCTAATCTTTGAGATGCTAACCTATTTATGACTTTAAATGCAGACTCGTATCTCTGTAGTCCCAGTTTTTAATTACCTCTTTGAAACCCCAAATCAGAAGCTCTCCATATGATTTCCAAACTTATTCTGGTGAGAACTGATTGATTAAAAACAACAACAAACTTGCATACATTCATTAGTAAAAGCTTCTCTTTGGCAGATTATAACTGTCAAGGTCTAACACAGGCTTTAAATTGCTTTTCTTTTTTAGATCATAGTTAAGTGCTATAGGCAGGGAATAGGGTCAGGGAGGTTGGATCATTGCCTTTGAAAGGCTTTCTTGGTAACCTTGGTTTCACTTCCCAGTCTGTAAAACAAGACTTTTGGGTTTAGAGCCCTAGGAGAGTTAACATGATTTGCTCTTTGTACCCTATCTTGAGAAAACAGGAAAAGACCTGAGCAAGTCTCTGGGTGCTATCTCCTGACTGGCTGGGTCAAAAGCCCACAATTGCCCTTCAGAGACTACATGCACTATTTCCCCAGCCCTTCCCATCTCCTAACATCCCAGCAGTAATTCGTCTTGCAGTCATTTCTGCCTTAGTTACTTAAAGAAATACAGTCCTTATTTTGTGAGTGCTATTTTTAAAATATGCTTTGCTTTCCGCTAGAATTTACTTTCATTTCTACTTTAATTTCTCTCTAATCCAGGGGTTAGCAGCCCAGGGTATTTTAGAAGTCTGGCTTTTCCTTTTATCTTATTACTAAATCTCCAGGGAAATGTTTTCCTGTGCATAAATTTTAAAGAATTCTACCTTAAAATCTTCCAGGTTCAATTAGATCCATTCCTTCTTTTTGTTAGGTGAACTGTAAGAACAACCTGTCCCTGCCCTCTGCCTAGTGGATTCTTATTCTTTGTTAAATTGAATATTGACTGTCTTTTTTACCAATGTAAATAATTCTCATTTATTTTTAACTCTTTTTCATTCCTCTCTTAAATTATGAGAAGTCTCTAACAGACTTACAGAAGACAAAATGGCAAATGGCCTTTGAAGGAAGTTAACATAATTTCAGTTGGATGATATATCGTGTTTTTCATTGGATGTCCTTGTGTATTTTAGTTTACAAATAATGAAAAAGAAAATCAAATAATGAAAAAGAAAACCTTCTAAACCTTCTAATTCCCCCACAAACCTCTTCTTCAAAACTTCCTTCCAAGCTAAGCTTCTTTTATAACTAAGCCACCAAACATAA